TTTTGAAAAGTTCAAAAAAGAACTTTTTATAATTTTAATTTTGTGCCATGGAGCATCAAAAGGACCCAATCAGATATTTCGTTTTGTGCTATCCATGCATATTTCGATTTCCTAGGAGAAGAAGCAGCTACAAACGGTTTCCCTATGCGAAGAAAAGCCATCTTCCTGTAGAGGTGTGTAACTTAGGAAAAATGCTTGGCCTTTCACTGTTTTCGAATTTTTTCGTCTGCCTAATGTTAAAAATGAAATCAAAATATAGATAAAGCATTTCTTTCATTAAAAAATTAAAATATTCATAAACTGGAAACCGGAGATGAAAACGCATGGTAGGGAATGAATATGAATTAACATACGGTATAGTAAGAGCTATATTAAAGCACGTAAAAGTCAGCAAAAGAAAATGAATTGAAAGCCCGGTTGCTGATAACATAAGGCGTATTCACGAACTGCTGATGGAAACATAGAAAAGGTTCTACATAAGCGATTCATAGATCTTCGTTCTTAAACTCTTTCTATTTCGGCAGAAAATAAGGTACTTTTCAATGTAAAAGATTTTGATGTTAGTTCTAGCTAATTACAATGATATCCGACACAACTAATAAAACTAAGAAAAAATCTGATGTGTACACCACATGACTTCCTTGTACGGAATATTAAATTATACGCATTTTTTCTTACATTTCATTTAAACATATTGAATGGAATTAAATCTACTCGATAGCGCATAAACCACAAAAGAATAAATGCACTCTTTAAATTTTACTATATCTGTTTACCATAGCGACACTCTGGCGCTAGGTTCACTTAACAACGTTATATTTCGTTCATATTATAATTTAACATCAACATCTAAATATACCGCCGGAACTATTACACAAAAGTGTAATTTTGCCGGCTTAGTGAGAATGAAGCCTAAACGGCGCATGACGATAAGAGTTTCCTGGCATGTCATTTTTTAACTTAAACTTTTAAATTTTAACTAACTTTTAAATCGGAGGAAGCTGGAGAAGGAGGGATCATATTATAACTCAGAATGCACAAAATTCATATCATTTGAAGAATTATCTAATCGTTGCCACATGCTCAATTTAAATATTATAATAAATCTAAAACGATGTATACGAGAAATTAAACAACCAAACAAAAAACAGTTTTCCCAGACGAGTCAGTATTTCCCATTCAATTAATTCGGTTCTGACTTCGCGACAAGGCAAAAATACATAAAAATTCAAAATATCTCTATTAAAAATTACGACGTAAATATTAAACACTTATTTCCTCGAATAAATTCCAAAATGGATTACGCATGATTTAATTCGCAATAATAATAGAAGGCTTTAACTTGTTGTTGCGAAGATCATAAATATTACCAACACATCTTTCGTTATATTGATGATGTAATAGCCTTCAACAAACTTCAACAAAATAGAAAAAGCTAATATCTACCCTTCCTGCCTTCAACTTAATACTACAAATACAGTGCAACATAGTTTACCTTGATTTAGTTTACCTTGATAGTTTACCTTGATATATTTTACCTTGATTTGCATATTATAGATTACAATTTTTTGACAATCTACGATAAACGAAAAGATTTCAACTTTCCTACACTTAAATTAACCAACTGGAATTCCAATATTTCTAAAATAGTCGTCCTCAATACAATTTACGCACAACTGCTTAGAATAAAAAGAATCTGCAATACAACAAAACACCTCCAAGAAGAAGTACTATACTTTGTAACAATCTTGAAGAACAACCTAATTCCTACAAAAGTAATTAAAAATGCGTTAAAATAAGCTGGCATTAACTTTATCTTTTAGATTTTTTGAGTTAGATAATGAAATTTTAGGCTTAAAGCCCTATGGGACGGTGTAAAGTGGATGGCTGATTCAGAAGATCTAATGTATAAATATGAAATTAATTCCTCTCACAACTTCATTTTTTACTCTTAAAATTTGGCACAGTACTTTTATAATACTATTCTTAAATAGATTTTAAGCATTTTCTGGCCATTTCTTTCCTGTTATTTACTTATGGGCTATTTCGTTTCTGGAAGCTTGATCGCCCTCTAGCTTGAAGAATTTCGACTTTAATTAACAATTTACTATTTTTCCTTATTTCTTCTTACTTTGTGGCGATATGATAACATATTGTTGAATTAGCCGTTTTTTCTTTCACCCGCGCCCAAATTTCTTCAAACTCATAGAGCAAGACGCCATCTTGAACAGTTTCTGCATTCACACAACACATTGCCCCCCCTTACACTGAGTCAGGTTTATGCCAACGGTCAGTCACTTTTCCTTGGCTCTTTCCTCATGACGTTTCTTCCCCTTTTTACATCATAGTGCCTAGTTGGTTAGCAGCTTACTTGCTCGAGTCTTTCACCCCCTTTTTGAGTTTGCATCGTTACTGCAATGAAGATCCAGGTCTGCTTTTAAAATATATTTCTTTCCCTTGTATTGATTTTTGGTCTTAGCAAGGCCCTTACAAAAAATTTATTTGTGTTATTATAATTTAAAATTTAAAATTTAATTTTTGGTACTTTCACAAAGTTTAAACTCTATAAGCTAGTAGGTCATCCCATAAAATCTTGTATACTTTGACTAATAGCAAATCGTTATTTATTTTATTTTGTACATAGGCATTGCCAGTCCATTATCTATAGTTATTATTACACCTTAATGTGTTTCTTCAAGCGGGCGCGTGGGAAATTGGAACAGAGAATTGAGACTAAAGTTTATGGCGAAGTTTTTTTCAATTAATTTATAAAAAGTGTTTCGTATACAGTTTCGTATATAGTTTTCGTATTCTGTTTCAGCGAAACGCGATATGGAGTTAGCTAGATTCGAAAATCATTAAAAATAATTTCCCTTGAAGAGCCTTAATGAGATTCGAATTGTGCTAATCTACCATTTAACGCTTCTTTGTTTTTGTATTTTTGCTTAAGTCATTTGTCACACTTTAATTCTAATATTTAAAATATGCCTTACTTTGATCAGCATATTGCTTACAATTAGTATTGAATTTTATTTGTAAATATTCAAGTGTTTATATTGTTTTTAATTTTATTACGATTTATTGCCACTTGTTTTTACTTATGTTAATATTTTCACGAAACCACAGTATCTAAGCAACTTTTTAGCGTACGAACTAAAAATTTTCTTTTAACTTTTTTCCAAATTTTGCAGCTCAATCGCCCAAAGTTTTTGACCACATAGGTCTTTTATCGTTTGTTCTCTTTTCTTTAATTATATACATATATTTATGTACTTTTGGCATACCGATCGCAACCAAAATATGAGGTGCACATCTACGTGTTATAGCAGTCCTACATACAAAATTTCAACGTTCTGAGGTACTCGTTTTTGAGTTATGCGAGATACGTACATACGTACGTACAAATGCCACGAAATATTATCTTCAGAATTCATTTTAAATCAGTTTTATAATTTTGTTTGGGGAAAGGAAATGTCAAGCAAACTTGCAGATGTCAAGCAAAAACATCGTTAAATTTATTGGATAGCGGTTAAAATATGATACCTGAAATTTTTCGAGATTACAATACTTCCTTTTTACTTCGTACAAGGAAGCAAAAATGGAAGATTACAAAATTATTTTTCTAAAAATACTTAATCAGAAATTCAGTCTCAATATCAGTCATTCGATATCCTTATTGTGAAGAACACCAGCTAATTAAAAGTATCTTAGTTTACGAAAAATACCGCAGACAGAAAATTATATTGAATGTTGAAGTGAGGATTTTCCGAACTAACAGTTCTCCACCATCAGATTAAGAAAAAAATATATACGTTTAAAGTGAATAATGGAATCGGCACGCAGAATACGATGCAATTTTACTCTTTAGTGTGGAATTTAAGACAGATTTGATTGGCTTATAAATGACCAATAAAGTACGGGAAGATATATTTCAAGATACAACTAAACTCTTTTCGACGTGCTGCCTTTTAATGAAAATACTAACCTGATATAAATGATATTTAAAACACGTAATACAAATACGATTCAAATTACATTTAGAATTATAATATATTATATAAGAAATGGGCATGAAACTTGAGAATACGATCTCTGTGAGCAGTAAAGCGGCTGAAAGAAATGAACATCCTGTGAATTAATTCAATTATTTAAATACAAAAAGTGTTTTTTTTTTCCAATTTTCTTAATAAAATACCAGTAATTGAAAACAGAATTCTGAAACGCTCAACAAGTACTGAAGATTACAAAGTTTTTATAGATGAACAAGATCTAAACCTGGCAAAAAATTTTTAATTTGTGTATATAATTGAGTAATTATGACTTTTTGTATTAATAACGTTTGATTTTTTATATAACATTCTGAAATGTTATGCCATATCCATTAAAATTTTGCTTGAGTTTTGTATATATTTGGTAAAATGTAAAATACATATCTGTGTGCACTACAGCTATTTTTTATAACATCAAATTATTCCATGCAATGAACAGGGTGGAATTTTGAAATTTATTATAAGCTGTTTTAGTTGTTAATTACAGTATATATAAAATAATCCCCGGTGGAGGAAGTAAAAGTAAATCCTCTAGCAAGAATCCTTTTTCTGCGCCTTTAAAATACTATAGGAATGATATAAACTGATATTATGTAATTAAAACAAACTTCACGTTTGAATAAAATTAGTTTCCAAACATGCCCTATCAGTTTTTGCATGTATAATATCAATATTCATTTCTAAACTAACTTTATTCTTCTTCCACTGACAAAATTGTTTTCTGGCTATCTTCGAGTTCCATAAATTCCATCCTAAAACTTTGTATACGAGTTGTCAGAAACTGAAGGAGCAATTTGACCTTAAAATCTAATCACTTTATTCATAAGCTGACAATTATTTCCGGTTTCCCAACATTTCTTCCAACTCAGCAGTTTTCCTTGCTTTAATTATTCGATATCGAAAGCGATACAGTGTTATTTTCATCTAAGGAAATGTTCAAAGTTAAGTATCCTTTCACCAGGAGTAAAGAAATCTCATCGTAAAAAATTACGTCCTTTGCATTAAATATTAACTCGAAAGTGTCTCCGGGAAATTCGACAAAGATTTGTCGCAAGCAGAAAAAAAGTAATATGGAGCAGAGCTTTAATAGAGGTGAGTTATTTGGTAGAAATTTAAACTATCATAGATCATTTACAAATTATTACGATAATCAGACAGCATAGCTTGTACGTTAACTTTCAGGATTTAACAAATATGGTATTGTGAGTACTATGTGATTTAATCTCTTTGCGTTATTATAGGATTCTTGGAACACACTGCCAACAATGCCTTCAATTAAAACACTTCATATACCAAGAAAAGTTTTTTTTTTAATGTCGTAACAGTTTTCTTGTCTCGGATTAGAACTGGAGAAATCTGGTCATCTAACTGTGTTGTTCAGATAATAGGTTGGTAGTACGTTAAAAAAATTAGCACACATAAACTGGAAGTAATGTAGAGCATTAATACCATATTAAGCGAAAAGCTGAGTTTGTCGATGTTTTATCAAGATTTTTAATTCAAAATATTTGAACTAAAGAGTTGCGACGGTAGATGACATGACGGTTCAGAAATTTATTGATTCTTTGATGCGTTTCATATTATTCTTTAGTATCAGTTTTATCCCTGTGATCTAAAATAAGTGCAACAGTGTGATAAATTTCTCTTAATTTAGTTCATACGTGCTATTTTAGCTGAATCACATGCCAAATTATTTCTAAATTTAAAAAGTAATGGCAAAATTCCGAAGAAGTATAAATGCATTTTTGTACAAGAAATGCATCTACGAGTAAACATTACTTTCCATTCTTTTTTATTGTGAAAAAAAAATTAGAAGCGAAATTGATTTAATCAGCCCCGCTTTTTTCTTTTTTTGTTGTTGTGTTGTCTTTGATAAGTTTAGAAAAAAGATATTTAGTGATTTTTTTTCCAGTAGTAGAGCATTGAAATTACAGTCATGAATGTAGTTTCATACTGAATGTTTGTACGAGTATTGTGTATAAATAAATACTGATTTATTGATATTACATAATTAATTGTATGCTAAATACTTATTTATTTTAAAACTGTGATATATTCATCATTCTTTTTACTTTAAGTTAAAAAAAAATTATTTAAACATTTTACTTTAAGTTGATTACTGTTTCATAATGTTTGTACTCTAAAATTTAACTCATAAGCATACCTTAATAACATGTCACAAAGTAAATAGCAGAGATTAAAACATAACATTATTTGTAATAAAATCCCGTAGGTGTTTTAATATGTTAATGGAAAGTATTTGTTCCACTTACAACCTCATACTCCTATTTTACATCGCTCAGATTCAGGCAAAAAAACTTTCAAGAAATCAGCATCAAACCTCATTAAACTAAAGAGTCGGTTAACTGAAGAAACTATTATTTTTATTACTATATGTTATTTTTCTTACTATATATATTTTCTTTTTTAAAATTTTTTCTAAATAATACAATTATTAACACAAAATTTAAATTATTTGAAGATTTTTGGGTTTTCTCTATAAGTCGTACTATTTTTGCACAATGCAAAAGAAATTTTGTTTAGTTATTCTCTGTATTGTGAAAGAAAACACAAAATCTGTGGATGTTATTAATATAAATTTAATTTTTACGTAAGCGAAATGTCATCTGTAAATTTGCTTGCTTTTTATTCGAACACGCAAAGAGCATTTGACGGTCTGACTGGAAATTTTGCCTATACGCTGCCTAAGAATTTGAATATAAGCGATTAAACGTTCTGCATTTCAACTCTGTTACAAAAGCTATTTAGAAACTCTACGAAAACAAAAGTTCTTTAAAGTTTCTGAACTCTTAACAGATACTCGTGGGAAACACAGATTATTAGACATCGAAATCACTCAATAAATAGTCTTGCAGTACCTGTGTACTAAATCTATACACTTCAAAGCTAAATTGTGTTTCAGTGTAGGCATTCAAGCGACATATCTCCCTGTTTTAATCTTCCAGTGAAAATAACTCCCTACTCAGAAGAAGGTTTAAAATGAACATAACAATTTACATTGTGTAACTGACAGAACAAAATCACCGCTTCTTGCAAAATTCAACAGAACATGAAAGTCAAAGTAAAATTTAAGCAATTAAAGGAGACATTCCACACGACAAAATCTTACTGCAAGCCGAAGCTCAAGCTCTCTTGCTAGCCGTGTTTGCACGCAAGGCCTTTTGCTATCCGTGTTTTCACGACGAGCAAACATGGCTGGCGAAAGGCTAGATCCAAATAATTCGGAGAAGGTTAGGAGTTGCAACCAAAAACTTTCTCTTAACTTCAAAAACTATGATTTTATATACGGTTACTAATTTACATTCTGGTGGAAGCTGACAAAAGTAGAAGTGACAGTTAAGATAAAAATAATAAGGTAAAATGGATTAATAAAGATAAAAACCTTGCAATTGAAAACAATAATTTTTCCACTTTCGTTATTTAAAATAATTTAGAAGTAACCTTCCCACAGTGTGAAACTATTAAAATTCGAAGGTAATGCGTTCATTAGCGGAAATCACAAGAGACGGAATAAGTCTGAAGACGTTTTGACTTGATTGACACTTACTAAGAATTTGAGAATTAATGTAGCAAATTTTAACAAGTTAAAAAAACAATTATTATTGCAATATTAATTATACAATTTCCTATTTAAAATACCTTAGCTCTCCACCAGGTTTAATAAGAGAATATATACTAGTTAATAGCTAATTATAACCAAGCATTGAAGAGCTAATGGGAGAGTGGCCCTCGTGAAGGACATTCTTTAAAATGCTTCAGAGTAAATATTTCAGAAAATAATGACATACATTTCTAAATACCACTGGGACAAGATATTCCTAAATATTTATACCTTCTTTAAAAAATGGAAATTCTTTGCACGCCAGTAAATTTGTTTCGTAGCTTTTGTCGAGTGTTAAACTCGTATCATTGTGCATTTAGCTCAAAATGCTTAACCTTTTTTTCTTCCTCTACAGCGCATTCGATTTTGATGAGGAGACACACGGTGGCCATTTTAGGCTGCCTGTGTTCTATCATCATGCATGCCCAACGCCTTAATATCAGTATTGCTCTGGTGGCTATGGTGAACTCGACGAAGCTGTACGTGTCCCCAAATGTCACAGAATGTCCTGCTCTGGAGAAGAATGTCACTTTAAGCGAAGCAGTAAGTTCAAATTAGATATTATTTTCTGATAATTGGTTCTTTAAATTATAGCTAAGACGTTGCTATTCAAGAGTTAAAATTATTCAAGATGATATAAAATTTGATAATATAAAGAAGACTTAAAAGTTATATTTCCAAACGTTAAAAGTTTTATTCTTTACTTTACTTCTTATTTAGACCATTGTATACATCATATCTTCTAATAACGGATACCTTTTTCATACACAAAAGAAAATTAACTCACCTTTGTCCATTAATATATGTTTTTTTTTCTATTGAAATATTGGTTATAGGTGGAACGAATAAATTTATTTATTTATTTATTTTGATGACGGAACTTTCCTTACACGTAAAATAAAGGAGTAAGGTTATCGTACGCACACTTAAAAACCCTTTTAAACCCTTCTGTTTGCAATCACCGTTATGCTGAAAAATTAAAATCACTTGACCAGATGAAGATGCGTTTAAAATATACTTAAAATAATTTTTATTAAATGAAGAATATTTTTAATTGGGCATTTTATTTAACCAAAATGATTTAAACACTAAATATTTAAGCAAAACTTCCTTCCCGGAAACCGGTTTTTAACGTATTTATTTTCATTAGATTTTTGACTCTTGGGCATTTTAGAAGCAATGTAAAAAAAATGCAGGTGATCATAAAATAACTTAACCGACTTTCGGGAGTTTGGAAGTCGAGTACACACTGCAGCTTTTGCAGCGTAAGTACGGGATGACGTGGTCAGCAATGCGGAAAATAGGGTACGGGAGTAGGGTACACTCAGGATTCTCACAATTAAAAACACAACTGGATCGCAAAAATTTCCAGAATTTTATACTGACACAAGATTTTGCATACCAGAAACAGTGCACAGGAAAACAACAGTGATATATCTTTTCGAACAGTGAGACGGCATTATTAAGAAATCACTAAATTTCGAGATGAAAATTAAAAAACGACAAGTGTAAAGTGATGAAAATTGTTTACTATAGATAACAATTGCAAATGCTTACTACCATTGCTGCCAAAGATACATTAGGAGAAAGATAGAGATAATAGCGTAACGAGGCACGTCAGTCTGGACGCTCAATGCTTCCCTCGTGATGTGTTACTTCAAGCCACTCAGTGAAGTGGAATTATTGGAGTAGTTTAAAGATTTTAGATCACTCCACAGCCAGAGATCAATATGAATTAAAACAAAGCAGAGCAGAGGCCTATCGCTGTGAGTTTTGACTATGTTGTCCCCTTATTTAAGAAACTTTATTAGTGTTTATCCACCCCTATTGACTGGCTTGCTTCTTTTAAGACCATTATTTTTTCTGTTTTTCGCTCTTCACATTATATAATGCTACACCTAATTCTGGTTTCTATACGAAACTGATGTCGCATTAAAATCTTAGTGTTGTAATAGAAATTTTTACGATGTTACTAAATGTAATTTCGTTTTAGGTTCTACTTCTGTTTTCAAATGCCATTAACGCGTTCTATCATGTAGTACTTATCCTGCAATCGTTGCAACGAACTCCTTAATTTTTAGGTTTCTTAGGTCAAGTTACTTTATCATGACTCTGTACTTTTCTTTAAACTCAAACCTAGGGAAAATATTTATACTAAATGGCAGTTTGGATGACTAAATGATAGTTTGGAAACAAAAAAGAAACGTAATCAAAAAATTACCTACATTTTTTATATGTGTTTTCTTTATTTTTTTTTTAATTTACATACTGTGAAGGAAGTATACTAAAATTTCAATAACTTTAGCGATATTCTTCTAGAAGTCTTAGCTTGTCTCAATTTTGGTTCCAAGTTTATCATCTTTGGTTCAGTGAGTTAACAAGAAGTAAATGCTTAATGTATAAAACTCTTAACTTGAAAAATTATCAAACAGTTATGCATGGCTACGAAATGTATTATACAAAACATTCAAAGGAAAGCATATAAATATTTAAAAAAATTCAGATCATTACGTAAATTCAAAGCAAATATGCATAAAATGCAAATAAATATACCCCAGTTTATAAAAACAAAACAAAAAAAATATGTAAATAAAATCATTATTTATGCAAATGTATTACAACACAAATCGTTGTGCAATTTTTTTAATGTTACAGTTTTTGGATAATTTAATCTACTTTCAGTAAATGAATACATGGACTACTCGCTTTCTTCTATTAATTTATGTCTGTATGAGCATTACCTCATAAAGTCATAAAATTACTATCACTTGGCCTCTTGCTCTATTATATTATTGAGAAAACTATATTTTTGTAATTTAAAACTATAATTTTATGCACAGATAAATTTTACTTATCACAGCGCAAAGGAGAGTTTTCTTGGAATCCAGAACTACAAGGTTACATTCTGAGCGCTGGATTTTTAGGATATGTTTTAACACAGATCTTGGGAGGCGTTCTAGCTGGACGATTTGGTTCCAAGCCAGTTCTCCTTGCCGGACTTCTGCTGGCTTCGATATGCAATCTAATTTCTCCTCTCTCAGCCAGATGCCACGTTTACCTGCTCACAGCTGTTCAACTTTTGAGAGGAATGGGCCAGGTGAGTTCTGACCAAACGGTATTTCTCCTATAATTCTAAAAATCCTAATCCTTTACATTCCCTTAAAAATAGAGCGTTTTGTGGCACTCTTTATTAATAACTTATGCTCTGCATTTTGAATTAAATACTAAGTATATACTTGAAGAGCTGATATTAACAAATAATAAGACTTAAGAATTCCTATAGAATGAAATTAAATAGAATCAAATATAAGTAAATATAAGAAAAAAATGACGTGTTTCTATAATATGCAGTTCTTATGTATGCAGCTTAAAAGAAAGAATGATTCAACAATTGGGTTTTTCGAGAATCATTCTCTTAGTTTTAGAATCTCGCCATAGTTTTAAAATTGTATTTTGCACATGCAAGAATGAATTGGATTTATATGTGATTATTATTCATGTGAAGTACTTGTTAAATGATAAAGTGAATTGAACGCTTATACTTAACTGTACTTCATCAGCAGACGTATATAATATGTAATGTTAATATTATATAAACAGTATGAACAAAGGGCATTATTAAGAAAAAAGTCTGAGAGACTTACGTGGTTATCAGGAAAGAATCATCTGATTACGAAATTTAATATTTTTCATAATTACAAACAGATAATTATAATTAATATATCACTGTGAAGAAAAAACATTAAACTTTCAGTTTGTAATGTTTCCTTTTTGCAACAGGTGGCAGCACTATTGAGATTAAGCTGTTTGAAATTTTGAAAAGAAGTGGCGTCTAAGCAGGAAAAGGCATTTTATGTGCTCTCATTTGCAAGAAGTCAGTCATGTAATCACTGCTCAGCGTGAATTTAGGAAAAATTATCTAAAACGCCTAACTCTAGCAACAGGCATGTAGTATCCCTACGTTCAAACGTCGCTCGTTGTTTCGTCGGATACGCCTAAACTTTGGACAGAGCCATCGGGGATTCGGGAAATTTTCCCAAGGCGCCAGTGTCTATCACGCTGCTTTACGTGATATCGACGGTTTTTAAAGAAATTGAAAAATTTATTATAATTGTTGAGGCCAGGTAGCAAAAACGATGAACTCATAAGAAGAAAATGATTTAATGACACTAAAATATGAAAGATAAACCAATGTCAACCGTAAACTCAATATCTTAACCGCGTTGTCGTTAGCTCATCACAAATTCATAACTGTTGGATCTAATTCTTTACTCCGTAGCAAATCAAGAAGAAATTTTCATAATTTCATAAACATGTTATAAATGTGCTATGATCTTTACGCAGGTAGGCATCTGTTCCCCCAAGATTAAAACCTTCATACATCATGGCAACCTTGATAAGGATTGCTTTCTCCATGGTACCGAGCTTCACAAGGGTGCCGGCACATCTGTGTCAGGGCACCCTTGTGTCTTGCCAAGTGATTGCGAACTTAAAGAAGATGCTCGCATCTTTCAGCAAGTTGACGACTGTTCGCCAATATTAAGACTTTCACATGGTTGTCCTGACAATCTTGCTGAGGTTTGTTTTCTTTTTGCGACTTTGTCACAGCAAAAGGATGCTGGCACCTCTATGCCGGTGTGCCACAGAGGCATTGGGTATGCGCACCTTAAGAAATGCACCTTTTCACAAAGTCCTGCACCCTGGCTAGACGAGACCCATCTGCTCCTGATTAAAGCACTGAACATAAATTACAACTAATGGATGATAGGGGTGTTTTAATCAGAAATGGATAATTTCTTCTGTATTTTAATGAGATCCAGAATGACAGCTGGCATAAAAGCGTTAGACAGTTGGCGTTAGAAAACTGAAATTTGTTGATGCTTTCAAACTTCAAAGCGTTCGAAAACTGAAATTTAATGATGAATTAGTAGGTTTAGTGTTCTTTGGGACGGTATACTGCTTTGACTGCATGGTTTGCAAAGAACAGCACCCTGCTTTTGATTGCTAGCATCTCTGCCTATTTATTCTGTCAGTAATGCATCATATAGAACCGCATATTCCATATTGCTAGTCCGAGAAATATCAAAATTTAGAATCAGAAGTACGTTTTTAAACGATTGCGTACCGAACTCTGCAACCTCTCTAAATCAAAGATCGGAAATTGAACCAATCGAGATTAAATGCAATGTAAAAATTCCGTATTTCTCCCGCCTTCTTAGCCTGCCTTCATAGTGTAATGGTTAACACACTAGGCGCGTATTCGAGAGGTCCATGGTTCGAGTCTCGCGGCGAGGGAATTGCTCACTATTTCATCTCTCCTGCTTTCAAAAAATACCTAATGTCTCTACAGTGGCACCGGAACTAAAAAAGGTGGTGGATAATGATTCCCCTCCCAGGATTTGGCGCTTGGATCCCCTAATTCTCGGTCTTCATTTAAAAGGGGAATATATAAGGTATTTCTCCCTCCTTCTTAGCATGCCTTCGTGGTGTAGTGGGCAGCACATGCGGCGCGTATTCAAGAGGTTCGTGGTTCGAGTCCCGGTGAGGGCATTGCTCATTTTTCATGTCTACCTCTTCGAAATAACCTAATTTCTCTACAATTTGCCCAGCATATTATTTGAGCCTCGCTGATTTGAACACCTTAGGGAGCTAAAAGCATCAAATTGCAATTTTTACTAAGAACCTGGAGACGCTTAAAGCAGTCTACGAGTAAAAGCCAAGAACTCCAAAGTCCAATAACAGAGAAAAATTAATTCGGGCAAATTATATGTCAAAGCAGAACGCTAGCTCTGAAATTTCATTCTGTCGAAATACAAAGATTATAAAATTCAATAATAGTTAAAACAATTTTTCATTTAAGCTTAAATATTTATTTGTTTTTTTTTATTCTACATTGGCATAAATTATATTTCTTAGGGCCCAAAATTTATCCCTTAATTTAAATACTTTGTAAGGTTTATCCTATGTTTTTAACAGTTATCTTTAGTTAAAGCTACTTTCCCATTCCTCCTAATTTCAGCTTACAATTTCCTACCAGAATTTGTTTTTAGAATCGCGGTTAATGCAAATGAGTAAGAGCGGTATTCAATTCGAAGTTCCACTGACTTCGTTAAAGAGCCAGAGATTCTGACTAGCGCGCGTTTGCCTTTTGGCTATACTCTCTCTAAGCTATTTCTACGCTCGGCCGTATCTCATGCACTTGATAGCTTCGCTAGATCAAATTGCTATTTAGGGCCTAACAATTTAGAAATCTTGATAGCTTCGGCCGTATTTTTTAGTTAAGCTTTAGTTAAGTTTAATTTCTTATTACTTTGTATTACTTTGAGTTCAAGCCCAAGTGGAGGCTTTGCTGTGTGTCCTGAGAAAGGGACCATCTGTGAAATTCTTATTTTGAGAAATAAAGGGTAATTAACCCTTCTTGAGTTTTACGCATCTGTTTCTGAACTAAAGAGCGAATATTCGCTTACCTGTTCACGAGTTCCTATACACTTAGCTGATAGATAAAAGGTTGGAACCCCACAACGTATGTATGTATGATTTATTAAATTAAAGTGTAAACAGTTATACATTTTGTTTCAAGGGTGCCATATAAAGAGTAAAGTTTTGTATTCTCAAAACTACTCTACCCCTATTGCTGAAAGCTATTTCGCAAAATTGTCACTTTATTTTGAGAATTGTTTTCAAGTTATATATATGTTTCCGCACGTCCAAAGACGCTTCCCAGATGTACATTGACCAGTATTATTAATAAGACTGAAACTACCTTTTTACAACATCCGGATCTTCTAATAAAAGGAGTTACAGTAATTTGCCTGTATAATATTTTATCCTAGAAGTGCACTTCCAATTACAAAATTTTTCTTAGTTTTATGAGAACAGTTTTAATACTGGGTGTAGGATGTTTAAATTAATATTAAAATTTAAATTTTCATATGGCCCCCTACAGCACAAAACTTCCAGTTTGTCGGAAATTCATCATATTCTAAACGCAGAATATTTCATATCTTGCGTGCAAAATTCGTGAAACTGTTAAAAAACAAACTTACTCATTTAGGTACTTTTCATATTTACATGTTTTCGACGGAAATTGAATATTCCTTAAAACTTTTTCTTAAACTTTAGGAAGCACTAACAAAAGCAGCTTCCTTTGGTGATTAGTGATTTATTATTTTTATTAGTTATTTATCTTTGAAACTGTCCCATGACGAAATGTCCCATGTGAAATTTAGTAGTTGGAAATATCTTACTAAATTTCACATGGCTTTATATGGAAATATTTTGCGCTAAATTTGCTAGCACATAAAGAACGTTTTAGAAATTCTACATTTTTTTTCAGGGTACCATATAAAGAGTACAGTTTTATGTTCTCAAAACCGGTCTACCCCTATTGCTAAAACCTATTTCTTAAAAATGTCACTTTATTTTTAAAACTTTTTAATTAGAAGTAGAGAACTAGAATTTAAATTTAAACAAATGAAAATTGTAATCATTATTTTTTGACACCCTGTACAAATGGCCATTTTCAGCCATTAATACAAAACATGCAAAGCGATGAAAAAGTCCTCCAGAAACGAGGTACTCTTTTAGAGTGATTATGTTTAATAAAACTTTGGTCAAAAAACTTAATATTGTTATAAATTGAGGAGTTGCTTAAATGGACAGATGTTAAATGATTTTATATGGCAAAATCATGAAAAATATTAATTTTTATATATTTTTATATACTTTTTTATATTTTTTATATATTCTTCTAAGTTGTATTACTTTTTTCGTTTTTCGAAACCAAGAGGCAAAGATAAGTTCTCTGAATTTACTGTATATTTTATTGTCCAGATAATCAGTAAAATAATTCTGACTTTTGTGTTTGTGTCTAATGCTAATATTAGTTAGCACTTCTAAAACAGATGATAAAGATTACTAGTTTGTTTAAGGAAGAGCCAAAAAGTAACTAAAATATTTATTTTACTAAGAGAACATGCATAAGTACGATTAAAAATTAGTTCACTCTTCTAATATACCATTCTCAGTGTTCAGTAAGGGGATCAATGTACTATTTCTAAGAACTGGATTCTGAAAGAATATTATTTCCTCGAAATGATTGCGTAGTAGCTGAACATTTTGGCAACAGATATTCCCTCTAAAATTAGCTAAACAGATTTTCACGCGCCCACGATATCGCTTATTCATTCTTAGAAGAATATCTTCTGGTTTCTCCCATGCATTACCCATAATCGGTTAACATTTCATTTCGTGAAAAGGCTTTCAATTTGGCGATCATTTTATTTAATCCTTGCTGATAATACGTTTCCCTTCAAATTGTCGAGCTTGCGCATTCTGACACATCAAGTATAAAGTCATGAAATATATACAGTACAACCGCCAATGAAGTTAATTAATTTAATATAGCCATATAACGTTACTTTTTGACTCTCCCCCATAGATTAGTTCTACTTCAGTATCTAGTAAATGACATGAAATTTTGTTCTTAAAATTCAAAGGGCCTGCAACAACCTTCTATGAGCGTTCTCATGTCCAAATGGTTTCCCAGGTCGGAAAGAGGGTTCCTGTCAGCATTTATCTACTGTGGATATCCTGTAGGGGCTTTCATTGGAAGTCTGGTGTCTGGAGCTCTATGTGAAGTCGAATTTTTAGGAGGATGGCCTTTGGTATTCTACGTGTTTGGTAATTAACCAGGTTTCTAAACATTTCATATTCCAATATTTTGTCTTTATTATAAAATTCTTAAATACTGTGTAAAATTTTTATGTTTTTTATTTATATATTAAAAATAGTTTTATGCGTACATATAACGCCGACGCCGAATATGTCTGCAATGCATGATATAACGGCATGAATTTAATAACATGATATAGTAATGCTGTATGCAATGTATACACTATTTAACTAACACCAAGAAGTATAAGCCATGAAGTTACGTATATCAGAGCGGGATATAGGTGCAGTTTATGACTTCAAAATGATCATGTTCTTAAGTGCTTAACTCTACCCAAGCAATGTCTGAGAACCACCGAAATATTTTTAAAACATTCTTTCAAATGAATGTTCAGAAATAGGATAACATCATGTGTTTTGATAATATGCTGTTTCGAGTTCTTGGATATGACATTTATTTTTAACCATCGCAGGCGGAGAGGGACCGAATAGTTCTTAGAGACGTTGATCTAAAGCTCAGTGTTGTCATATTTTACCTTAGAGACACTCAACTGTGGTGTATAGTATTTTTGCCGAAATGTTATGGTTATATATCCGACTGCGAGAACAACGAAGCTAAGATCACAGCAAACTGCGATTAGAGGAAAAATTCTGATAGGACGGATCATCGGACTAAACGGATGGCGTGTAGTGATCCTTACCGTGCTTCACGTGAACTTTGATGTAGCATACTGAGCACAAGAAGTCCAGATTTACGCAAAGCATCAGAAAGCTTTTACACATTACTTGGCTGCGCGGCAGATGGTCAGCGACCCATGTGTTCCATTGATAACCAAAGGTTATCATGATGTACGTGCTTATGGCTTATTATTTCGTATTCATTCGTGTATGTAGATAAGACAGGCCAGAATCGAGAACTATCCTCCTCAGCCATGATTTTTCGCTTATGTCTCTGTCTTCTTCTGTCCAGAAGCAGTGACATTAGTAGGTTAGTCTGGAGACACTGTCTACCTTGAATAATGATGCTAGAAGACATAATATATTTTTAAGTGTACCCTTGAAGTCTTCCTTCCTGATGTACTGACAACTCAATGAAGTTTTGATTTACTAGAGAAATCAGTGATATATCCATTTTTTGAAGGCCCTCTAAGAGCCCCTTTAAGGGTCCAACGCATGTCTACCTTGCTGTTTGGATAATTTACGAAAACTTGATGTGGTCCCATGACCACCGCATTTCTAAGCTTGTCTCATACAGAGCATGTCTGAGATATCATTGACTGGCTATTGCAGAAGGAAGAACCAGCTACCAATCTTAATGCTTTATGTTTCCCAATGTTTGCATCATGGCGAATTATTGAATGTTTAATAATTTCAGATTATGTTTAATGGCCTCATTGGATACATGCGGAACGTGTGATTGCGTGAACTTCCGTGTACGGTGATCATATTTCACACTAAATAAACATAGATTATTTGAATATTTTGTTACGTTTTTTATCATTTGCATATGATTGGAATGCTTATTTATCCTGCGAATTTCAAATTTCTGCAGTATTTCTTTTTTGATGTCCCAATTTCAGTGTTAAACAGTTTCCCTAGGGTCATGCAGAAGTAATATGATTCAAAATACTTATATTCTTGAATATAAGTTATAAGAAATGAAAACAAAAGTAATCGATTTCTAAAATCTGTGACAAAAATAGGTTTACATATTTCTAGCAGATTAATCAAGGACTCAGAGGCACACATTTCGACTTGAATTTCTTAAAGATAGCTTCAGGTCGTCGGTTTTTCGTAAATATCATAGATAAGACTTTATTCATAACATTGCCGCGACAGAAGAAATGCGCTGGTGTCAGATATCATAGCCATGACTGACCTTCATCATCTGATCCTTCGCATGTAAAAAAAAATATCTTATACGTGCTGTAGCAATGACCCTGACGAAACGCCTCAGAAACTCTGAACACTTTCTCTGAGGTTATCGTTAATATCTTACTTTCCCTCGGAAATTATTTTTTTCAAGAGTCAAAATTCAGCGGAGCGACAATCATTTGCGCCAGTTTCATAAATAAACTTTCATTAGTTGTTCCCTTCTATGGACGGTGGAAAAGGAGAATATAGAAAAAGAAGACAGGAAAAAAAATTGTTATTTCTTTGAAGTGATGTGGAAAGGTATTCAAACTGAAGCATAGATATTTGGCACCAGTATTAGTGCCAAATGTTTTGTGTATATATATATCTCGAAATAACAAATTATAGTAATAATGACCAAAAATTAAAACAAAAATTTTTAATTAAAAATTGAAAATATTATTCTGCTAACGATTTCTTTTTCGACATAAATGCTGTAGTATGATGTTAAACATATACATAAGGAACTCACAGATATTGCATACTAATATTTTGTAAATGGAGGTTTTTCTGGTCATTTTTGTAATCCTATCTGTTTGGTAGTCATATCGCTTTAAACATAGTATAACTGCTTCTGCGATACCCGACAGAATTGCTCAATCATACCTAATAATGCTTTATATCCGATTAAAGGCTTAAATTTCAGGGAAGCATGTCCTATCGATTGTCTCATTTCCAATAAGAAAGGTCGTCCAAATTCAAATCCTGAATTCTACTGGAAACAAATATGTATGAATATACTCAACTAGAAATAAAAACCAGTAAAAGACTTATATGTATATATATAAAATATGCAAATCAAAATTACAACTTGCAAAGCCTCTTCAATGCAAATTTTTAATTTGGGTAATTCTCTGTGGTAATAACTTTCTCGAAACTGCGTCATATCTGAAAACTAATTCTGCATTATGTTGTCTTAAATGATCTGCATTGCCAATACGTTTTACCAATGAGATGAACGAAGCATTTTACTGTAAAATACCGTTTCAACCCGACTATCCTCCTTTTTCTCTGCCTACGCTTGCTAGCTAAAAGATGTATCTTGCTTGGCTGCTTTTGTTAAAAATGTAATGCGCCATAATCAAAATTGTGGGACGCAGATTGGCCTCAGTGGAAATTGCAACAAGTAATAAAGATAGATTTGGAATGTCAAGTGACTTTGTGTTTCTTCAAAAGTTCCTGGCATCTTCTACTACGTAATTGATATTTTCAGTGATCTTCTAATCCTTCATCTACTCGCGATTGCAAAATAATGTCTTTCCTTAGTCAAGCACTCATTTCTCATCAATTTACAACAAGGAATTAAATCGTATCATCACAGTTTTATCCACTCGCGACTGCAAAATAATGTCTTCCCTAGTCAAGCACTCATCTGTCATCAATTTACTGTAAGGAACTAAATTATATCATCACACACACACACACATATACAGGGTGTTTCATAGATCATGGGACAAACTTGGAGGGGTGGTGGAGCATACTAAAACATGCATTTTTTATATGAATGTAGGGTCTAAAGTGACGGGTTAAGGCAGGAACGCAAAAAAATCGACACGAGAGGAAAATGTGCTTATGTACAAAATAAACGCAACAAAGTGCTTCTTTGTAGAAAAACAGTATTCACAATAAATGTTCAAAATTGTGACCACCAGCAGTAATACATGCTTGGTAACGTCGCAGAAGGGATTGACGAACATTTTGAAAAACGACAGGCATTTCGCGCACGCTTGCAACCGTACTGAATAGTCGTGCAACGAGGTCCTCCAGTGAGTCAAAGGGAGTCTCCTAAAATGATGCTCTTCAGATGGCCCCATAAAAAAATTCCAGCTGGATAAATCTGGCGAACGGGGTGGCCATCGAACGGGTCCACCACGGCCAATCCATCGGCCCAGAAATGTCCTGTCCAAGTAATTGCGGACCTGCACGTGGTTATGGGCTTGCACCATCATGCTGGAACCACATGCGATCACGAACGACAGCCGGAACATCCTGCAGCAATTCCGGTAGCATCTCTTGCAGAAAAATATGATAACATAAGCCATTTTGTACGTGCAAGTAAGCGGTATGGGCCTGTGAGGTTGTCGTTAACAATACCCGCCCACACATTCACGGAGAAGCAGGTTTGGAATGCTTGTGGACGTGTGCCGTGTGGATTATGAGTTGCCCACACGTCCTATGAGAACGTTGCCTCGTCCGTTAATAGCATATCCGATGGGAAATCTGCCTGCGCCACACACTGCTGCAAGAACTAATGATAAAATTGAACTCGAAGAGGCTTAGACTCTCTACAAAAGGTATGGGTGCAAATTATTTTCATGCAATACTCTCCAAACGGTGGAATGACTCAGCTGCAGGCGACGTGCAATAGCTCTTGTACTTGTCTGAGATGATTCATGTACAATGTTCAAGATAGATTCTTCAATGCGAGGTTTTCTTGCACTTCTTCTTCCACTCCTAGTGTCAGAGGCGGCTTCAAATGACCCGTTTTCCCGCAGAGACCGATTCAACCTCTCGAACATTGTGTGCTTCGGCATGCGCCTGTTCCGAAACCGCTCCTGGTACAACTGTAGCGCAGCTCTGCCGTTCCTATTAGCAGCACCATACATGAGATGCATGTCAGATTTTTCCCTGTGCGTAAACTCACCCATCACGCTCCACATCAGAATTATGAATGATCCTCTGATGCATCGGATCGTGGTTTGTCCGACTCACTACCGCCCTTTACCGCTGCATTTCCGGTCAGTCACAGCTGTAGTTCCTATTACTATTAGTGTTCCATTTTTTGAACATTTATTGTGAATACTGTATTGCTGCAAAGAAGCACTTTGCGTTTATTTTGTACATAAGCACATTTTCCTCTCGTGTCGGTTTTTTTGCGTTCCTGCCTTAACCCGTCACTTTAGACCCTACATTCCTATACAAAAACTGCATGTTTTAGTACGCTTCACCACCCCTCTAAGTTTGTCCCATGATCTAAGAAACATTCTGTATATATATATGTGTGTGTCTGTGTGTAAGATATAACAAAACACAATAGCTGCTTTAAGAATAACTTGGCGACTTCAAAATTAACTATTCTAAATTTGATCTTCTCC